GGTTTCGAGAGGGGGGTAGAAGGAGCAGGAGCAGAAAAAATCAGGAGGGGGAGTCATTGGGGGAGGAGGATTGAAGTGGGGAGGAGTGGGAAGGAGAAGGAGAGCGAAGGGGCCGGGGAAAATCACCATGAGCGGAAGCGAACGAAGTACGGGAGTGCACTGCGAACCTTGAGATCGGAGTCAGAGGCGGAGAGAAAGAGATTGACGAGAAACATGGGCAAATCACAGCTGATAGACAAGATAGAGATTCAACGACATGATCACACCATCGGACAGCTGAGACAAGATACTTCAGGTTGGCATCGACCCAGTTACATCAAGCTTGACACCGTCACGTCAATCGCTCGCCTGACTCACCACGTCAAAGTCCGGGTCGAGCTGGCGGATCAGACTCTCGGAGATCGCCATGGTCATCAGCGTGACCTGCAGGAGATCAGCTGGGAAAGATCAACGCACTAAGAGCTACCGCCACGTCACCCCGGAGGACAAGCCCGTGACCCTGAGAGGAGAGAGCGAGGGAAAGTAAGCAGAAGCAGCAGGAGGAAGAGGAAGGGGAAGAGGAACAGGAACAGGAAGAGGAGGGAGAGAGGAGGAGGAGGAAGAGGATGGACAATAAGGGATATGTATTTTGTTTTTGAATCAAGAGACAGGGAGCTCTGGAGACAAGGGGATGAAGTTGAAAGAGTTCTCAGCGAGAACAACGAATTCAAAGAAGTTGAGGGTGGTGAGATCAGACGAAGACAAGAGGACATGGACGAAGAAGACTGAAGAGACAAGAATATGGGCGATGAAGATGAAAAAGCAACCAAGAGCAGGATAGAAAGCTTCTCTGTTCTACCTGCATGCAGCGGAGGATCGAACCGATAAGACCTCCCATGTCGATAGGCCCTGAAGGGAGGAAAACGTCAGGACGAGGGCAGGGGACGAGAAAGATAGTTCTGACCTCCCTCAGGAGAGTGCATCGAGTCGTGGCCAACATATTGTTTCTGTTAATCGACGGAGGTAAGGAGTTGAACAGCACTGTGAAGGATGTAGAGCAGCAAGGTGGAAGATGAATAGAAGGATTTTTTGCTCATGCAGTTGAGGAGAAGGAGCAGCAGCAGCAGCAGCAGCATGAGCAGGGGCAGCATGAGCAGGGGCAGGGGCAGGGGCAGGGGCAGGGGCAGGGGCAGGGGCAGGGGCAGGGGCAGGGGCAGGGGCAGGGGCAGGAGATGAGGATGATGAATATGATCATGGTGGTAGCAGGGACAGGCACTCGTCCAAAGCTCATCAATCTTGAGACAACGCACCATGACATCACTGAGGTCATTGTTGAAAGCTTCCGTGTCAATCTGATAGAAACTCGATGAGAGTCAAGACCAATGCGTTCTGTCGCATACCTTCTCCTTCGGGATCGTGTTGAATGTGATTAACTTCTCAGAAACCTTGTTGACACGTCAAACTCCGCCTGCTCTCATTGTGCCTTCACCTTGTCGGATCTGCCAGTGCAGATAGAGTGGAGGAAGTAGCCGAAGGGCTTCGCAGGGAAGTCAGTCAGTCGTCGACGTGTTGACGTGTGTCAAAGTTGGACCTGAGCGATGTCTTCGTTCAAAGCGGTTGTGAGACCAGCATCGAAGACCTACTGAAAGGTGACAACGAGGAAGAGGGAGAGACGGGAGGGAGAGACGGGAGGGAGAGACGGGAGGGAGGAGGGAGCGAGAGCAGGGAAGAGGGGGCAAGAGGAAGGATAAGGGGGCGAGTAAGGAGGGGAAGGTGAGCAAGCAGAGACAATTATAGATAGAGGGGAATAGAGGCAGAAAAGGTGTGTAGCAAGGAAGCGGGGGAGTGGGAGAGGAGGAGTGGGAAAAGAGGAGAAAGTTGATGAGGAGAAGGCAGGTAACGAGCTGATGAGGAGGAGGCAGGTAGCAGAGAGAGAAGAGCAGAAGACCGCGAGAGTGCCGTCATGAGCAGCCATGAGGTTTCCACCATGCAGATCGCCTGACACACAAGAATCATCCAAGCATCCCTCCATCCATCGACTTGAAACAAGTTTGATCAGAGTCGTCACTCACCATGGATGTAGTTGTCACGAAGAAACATCTTCATGTTCATGTCAAAGATGGCCTGATCAAACAATTGTCAAGCAGCAAACACACGATCGACTGCTCGTCAACTTGTGCCATCTTCTTCTTGGTCGCGTGAACTTCATCGCTGCAGCAACAACCCTTGAGCAAGATCAAGAACAAGCCTGTCATGTCATGCCTGAAACGTTGATACGTTGCCTTTGCCTTGTCCCCAACCTGATATTTCCGATCAGTCTCGACAAAAAAGATGTCAAATGCGGAGGGTCAACACCTCGCTGAAGATGTCTTGCACGATTGTTCCGTTTACCCATGTTTCGGTCAAGACGCTGAGAAGCGACAGGATGAGAGCGAGTGAGAGGAGGAAGAGGAAAAGAAGAGGAGGAGGAGTTGAAGAGGAGGAGGAAGAGGAGGAGGAGGAGGAGTTGAAGAGGAGGAGGAAGAGGAGGAGGAGGAGGAGTTGAAGAGGAGGACAAGTCGAAGGCGTTGGGGAGGTAGGCAACATCATTGAGGAGAATTTCAAGAGCGAAGCCAGAGGGACAGTGGGGGAGGAAGGTAAGGGGGACGTAGGAGACCTCGGAGAGACAAGATGAGGAAAAACTTGAGGGAATTTGATGATCTCCTCTCCCTGTGATTTCATCCATAAGAATCGACGCGCAGAAATTTGACAAGGTAACGACCTGGAAGTTCCAGTTGAACAGCTGAAGGTTGTAAGCCTCCCAGGTGAGATCCACCTGAAACAGAACTTTGACTAGCTGAACGTCTCAAGTCATAAAGAAACAGTTCCCACTTGTCTTCTAAGAGCAAGATTGAAAGCATCCTATGCGATCAAGTCACCCTGGTTGTCAAAGGACTGACAAAGGATTTGAAAGGAACCTTGTCAAAAGGCTGGGAAGTCTGAAGGAGAGTCTTGCCGACCTTGTTCAACCAAGTCAGGCACAAAAGAGACGCAGGAGACTCAAACCCAGTCTAGAACGTCAAACAGCAGTCTTGTGTCGTAGTATGTCTCGTGAACGACCTGAGGGTGTCTGACCTGTTGCATTCTGGCATCAAACCACTCTGAGTGCTAAGAACAACATAACAATCACCTTCACTGCAACCTCGCGCTGTCCTCCTTCAAGTGCAAACTCGGGTTTCAACACTCCTTTGTGAACCTTCTCTCTCAAGTCAGACCACAAGGACAACAAGGTTGCATGTTGGACTCATGTTGTACCTGCGCAATAGTGCCGCTTGCAACAGGAACTTTATCGAACTCATCGAAAAGTTCCTGTAGACAATCATAAGGAGGAGAAATTACAAAGAAAAACATGTCATCAACCTCAATCGTCCTGCCGAACGATTCTTCAATCGCCTTCCTCGTGTACTCGAAATCGTGCGAAGGGGCTGAGAGATGAAACATCAGATACAGGACCATCTCTCCTCGTCATCTTGCCGTCATTTCTCAGACGAGACAAGGCCTGCAAACATTGTCATTATCATCAACGTCATGATCATCACCCTGACGAAGAATAAAAAAACTCACTCTGATAACATCAGGTGGAAACAAGTCCGGACGCATTGACAGCCACTGATCAATCAAGATCAAGAACAGTCAATTCGATCAATACAGAACAAAATATTGATCGAAAAAGATTGTTGGGATGATGTGGAAGAAGAGGATTCTAGAAGACAGCAAGACCTGCCCAAATTTCATGAAGCTGCATCCGGCCTTTTCGAGAGTCTTGACCTGCAAGATGCAAGATGAGCATGGATAACATTACAACTCAAAACTTCACAGCTCTAACTGCAATCATCATCATGCACATCAATCATAATACAAAACATCGGACACAACTGACTTAGTCGAAGTCTCACACTCTACGAGAACAAACATGGTTTACATCTTTACCATCATCTCCAACCAATACTCTCGGAGCCAGGGATCATTCGGGTTCAAAGTCTGCAATGGCAATAAGTCAGAGGGGTTCGACCATTCAACTTGTAACATCGATCATCTTGAGTAAATAGAAACACTTTCACGCATCTCAATCGTACAACCTGAACAAGTGAGACGGCGGTGAAAGGTGCGAACACGATGACAAGGTAGACTGCACGACGAGCAACGATGTAGAGCTGTAGAGATCAAACTTCAGAGTTCCAGAGAAAAAGCAAGCATCTAATGAGTCACCCGATACCACCATGGCAACCGCTCGAAAGGATGCACATTCCCTTCCTCGCTGGAAATCACAGATGAGTGCAGGATGACAAGATGAGAAATGACAGGAAAGAACAAAGTGAGATGGAGTGTCAGAACATGGTGAGATGGAAGTTTACACATGGTGAAGAGATAACATGATGAACTAAGCCTCAAGCTGATAGCGAGAGCGAGGTAAACGATGGTGACAACAATGGTGGTGACCACAATCCACACCTAGGAGGACGAGGGATAGGCAAATCAGCCGTTGTCGGCTCCTTCTTCTTATACCCGAAGATCTGAGAATGCAACATGAGCAAGCCGATCAAAGGAGAACAAGAGAGAGAGGAGGCGCAAGAGGAGGGGCAAGAGGAGGAGAAAGGGAACTGATTGGACTAACAATCTCTGAAAGCGGGATGTTCTTGTTTGCCACCCAGAGGGCAGCCGCTCCACATGACACGCCGGCACCGAGGAGAATGTATCTTCGATGAGCATGAGCCTGATAGTAATCCCGACAAGAGAAGTGTTAGACCAACTCGTTCCATGCATCATGACATCTCCATACTTGGCTGCTGAAACTGCGGGAGGCCGGCTTGGCTCTGCTAACCATTCCTCTTGCTTTCGCCATCTGTTCATGATGACGAGCTTGTGATGACAAGAAGGAGAAGGCAATGAAGATCGAGCAGCAGTTCTTACCTTGGATGCTGCCTCCTTCAGCAGTTTGACTCGTGCGTTGGGAGTGTTGCAAAGCACCTGCCACACGTCAGCTCCAGGTGTTTACGCTGAGTCAGTGCCACCTGCAACACTCCTCTAGTGTGCATGAAGATCGCCATGAGGATAGTGTCGAATAGTTTGTGATCTCAGAGCTTCAATGTCAAAGCACTGTCGTGCTCCCTGATGGAAACAACCAAATGTCACTGCTAGCCGAGAACATCAGGAGCAGAAGCCGGTGCTTTGGCCCGGATATGCAGAGGGGAAGGAAGAACGATGATTCTTGAGAGTACAAAGAAAGTATCCATCACGAACGTTGACCTAACTCATCATGATGATATGAACATTGCAAACGCATCACTGGCCCTCTTGCCGCACCGTCCCGGATATCAGTTCGTGAATCCATTGCTCTTTCACAAACAAAGAGTTTTCATCTGACAGTTCAAATCCTCCATTCTATACTGCGATCCTTGCGCACTTGAGCTCTATTTGCTTTCCTCTCACGTCTCCTCTTCATCTCTCCCTCCTCAATCCCGTCTGTTCCTCACTCAGCCCGACTGACTTGTTCGGCTCTACCTCACCATTCCTTCTACATCCCTCTATACCGACACTTCTCCTCGCTTCCATGGTTCCATTGACGCATACCATTGCTTCCTCTTCCATCTCGCATCCCATTCTCCCCTCCTCCTTCCCTCCCTTGGCTCCCGCGCTCTCCCTCTTCCCTTGCATGTGAGGCCTGCTATAGGACCTTGCATATTATACCAAATCTCCCTCGAAATATCCACCTTTAATTTCAAATACTAAGATAATATCTCAGCAGGTGGCATAATCTGTATGAAATCTTATCATGAATTTCAAGATGCCCGGTGGAATTTTAGCACTTATCCCTCAAAATGTAAAACTTTTTAAGTTTCCCAGCCTTCCCAGAGTTGAACTTTTTCCAAATAAATTCCAGATAACAATTTCAAATTTATCAAAACCAATTAGACAGAAAATTTGAAAGAGTCATCTTTCTGCCTACGCTCCGGTAGGCAATGGACTGGACGTATCTACAGTCGTCAAATTACTGAAGAAAATTTGAAATATTTCAAAAAGCTTGCGACCATTTCGAAAATGGTGTACCCCATGGGAATATTATCACTTACACATGCTTACGACTACCCCTGCCCCTATTTTACCAACAAGTACCCCCCATTTTCTACTCAAAAGAGTCTGTCGAGGTAGGGTACATACATTTGTGTACCCCTATGTTTTGCGTCCACATCCGACTACTCCCAGTGCACGATCTAAACTACCCCTACCCTACCATTCCACATCAAAAAGAGGTATTGATATACCCCTCCTTTGTGCACACCAGATGGGGGTGTACACACTGACCCCCGGTTAGTCGCATACCCATGAAATCATTTAGTCTTGAGGGGGTACTCAGATAGTACCGGTACTGAGAATGCTACCCAACAATCTGGGGTACTATAGAACTATGAAGTACCGGTGCGTTTTCCTAAATACTAACACTCTGACATAGCGTCATCACCCCTACCACTTCAAAATCATATAAGATATGGGGTAGTCTTTGAATTATTGAAGTACCCACAAATCATAGGAACTTTGATATGTAAAAATTAGGGTAGGGTACAGTACCCTCACCTATCTGGAGGAAGGCCTAAGTAGGGGTATACAAAAGAAATGGAAGAGGCCATGCTACGCTGTGGGCGCATCCCAAGGACTGGTTCTTTGCGATGCTGAACTACCGAACACAGCGTGTCCTGCCGCTATCCATGATGCTGCTGATGCTGCCGCTGATGATCCACTACCTCCTCATCCTCATCTTCTCCTCACTGTGCTCCTTCAATGTGTGTCCCTGCATGGATATCCACTACAGGCCCAGGATCCGGCTACTCCCATGCTCCTGATAGTCTGCACCCCTTGTGCTCTCTCGACTGCTCTACCGACACTCTCTTGGTCGGTGTTTTCGCTCAAGTCCTCACATTCTTTGCTTCATAATCAAATGCAGTGGGCTGGTAGAGCCTTGAGCGTCTTTCCTCCCCAGGATCCGGACATACCTTTCTGTGTTAGTGTGTATTTTCTATCCACACGCTGTTGCGATAGAGATTTTCTTGGCTATCAGCAGCGGAGGCTGAGGCAGAGATACAGGCAGAGTCAGGCAGAGAAAGGGACAGAGGAAAGGACCGAGGCACAGGAAGAGGCATAGGAAGAATCGATAAAACGATTCTCCGTGCATGCTGTGCGAATATCTATATATGATCTGCAGGATGATTGTAGTTTCCAAACCTCCTTTAAACAATTATGTCAGCATGCTTCTTATTATGAAAAGAGACGATCATGACATTAGGGATGGTTCAAGTCTTGTTTCATCACAGCCTTAGCTACCTTGTTGTGTGTAGATTGACTGAAACTTTTGTTCACTGTGTTTGTCTTCATAGAGCTGGCGAGGAGGATGAAGCAATCGTGCGATGGGCCTGATGACTGGTCCCTGAGCTTTCCCAAGGAAAATTGATTGTTTCAGGTGTGTTGTCAGTGACTGAGGGCGTCGAAGATTCTAACAATATCCCATGTAGCCTCACTGTCTCAATGTTCTCCCTTCAGTCTTCCAACAAGACACCACACAACATGTCATGAAGAACGCAAGTACAATGTTTCACTCCAGATTCCTGTTGTTGGTGAGGAATTTTTGAGCTTCCAACCGATGCTCGACTGATCGCTGCATTCAAGATTTTCTTCTTCCTCCTTCTTTCAAACTTCTGTTCTGCTCATTTTCTCGATAGCAAGTTAGTCGGTGAGGACTTGTTGTCACTACCTCTTGTCCGTGTTCAACTCACCTACTACCAACAAGACACACGCTCACCGCAATTGTGGAAGAACGTGTTCTTGTGCGGAACAGAGCTGGAGCAGTTGGAGGAGGTGAACATGACCTGCTGCTTCATCTGAGGATGTGAAGACGTGATTGTCAGATCTACAAGATACAATGGGACTTCTCCCACCTAGACAAGGAGTTGCAGGTTGACAATGCCCCGTCCACTCCTCCACCCCGCCGCCCCCTTTCCTCCCTCCCTCCCTTCAGCACTTCCTCCCTCCCTCTCGCTCCCAACCGCCCGCCCTCACTCACTCACTCACTCACTCACTCACTCACTCACTCACTCACTCACTCACTCACTCACTCACTCCATCGCTTCCCCCTCCTTCACTACTTGGTTTGGTGAAGATCACTTTGTTGGGAAAGGTCGGAAAGATTTGCTGCCAAGAGCTTCAGCCGTCACATATGGTAAGAGGAAGTTTGAACATGATGAGGCGTCAAAAACAACTCGTTTACTCATACTCAGCTCATAATTGACTTGTCATACAAGGTCTATCTCTTTGGAAGCACAGAACCGCAAATGTTTCCGATTTCACCGAATCAAACGACGGTGATGACGATAGTAGTAGTGGTGATGATGATGGTGTGAAGAGAGGAGGAGGAGGAGGAGGAGGAGGAGGAGGAGGAGATTCAAGGGGAGCGCGAGAATGATGGCAGCAGTATAAGAAGAATCTCTTTGCTCTTTTTGACCTCCATGATCACCCGTCTGAAATGTTGATAAGGTGATTCATATTCCCGTGATCATCGCAGTGAAGACGGCAGGTAAATATGCCTCCCCCTCCCCCACTCCTTCTCTTTCTTCTTTCTCCTCCTCCTCCTCCTCCTCCTTCTCTTTCTCCTCCTTCTCTTTCTCCTCCTCTTCCTTCTCTTTCTCCTCCTCCCCCACTCTTTCTCCTCCTCCTCCTCCTCCTCCTCCTCCTCCTCCTCCTTCTCCTCCTCCTCCTCCTCCTCCTTCTCTTCTTTTCTCAACATCTTGCAGTTTCTCTTCCGGAGAAAGTTGGGTTGAACAGCGTTCAGATGGTTGAAGAGAAGGTGATTTTCCATATCAAGCATCTCTAACAAAACACACTCTCAACATCCGTATGCAGAGGCGGAGCATCTCTCACTATGATCGTGACATTCTTGTTGCTGAATGTGTTTTAAACTTTCTAGATCGTTCCCATGTCGGAGTACAAGATGAGTTGGGCACCCTTGGCTGTGAGATTAAAAAACTTCACAACACACACTGAAAAATCCTATCAGGTTCCTCCACTCAAACAACATCCGCAAGCTGAGACTCCTGAACGCAAGAAGCAGTATGTTGCTTCACTTTCAGACTTGAGCATCTTACGCAGTTTTTCCTAGGAGGAGGGTTGTGAATCCGAAGAAAAACAACATCTGGTGTCTGAGCTGCTCACAGCGGAAAGCAAGGTGAATGCTACATGGATGAGAAGTTGAAGATGAGAAAGTTGTTGGAGATGATGGGTGCATAATGCTCGATTGCAGGGGAGTTTTGAAGAACCTGAAAGAAGAAAGAACAAGAGCATTTGATTATTGCATGCCGTATATCTTCCTCCCCCACAAGGTAAACAATGTTGAACAGGACGAGAAGGAAGAGGGGGACGAAGGGAGAGGGCGAGGAGGAAAGACGAGGACGAGGCGTCATGTTCAAGTTTCGCTATTAACTCATCATTGCAGCAAGAGGCGTACACGGAAGAAACATGTGTTGACATCATTTGCGAACTCCCAGGGAGAAAGGTGAAAGACTGAAATTGCTGGGAGGTGAAAATCAACACATGATTCACAGAACCCTCTTGTATTCGACTTTGACTGGGAGATGGATGAAGTGGAGGAGGTGAAACGCTGTTTTGCTCCTTTTGGGGTGTTTGTGATGCATGCTTGACAGGTTGTGAAGGAGAAGAAAGAAGAAGAGTCGCTGAAGTATGATAAAGATGCTTTCATGTTCACCTGTATCAGTCTAGCTCATTCTGACATGCACTTTCGTTTGCAAACATTTCAGCGCTGCACAAGCAAAGAATCTCACACAAACTATAAAGTCCTTGACTTGTCGATTTGTCTTCATCCAGTAACAAGTGCGCAGAAATGCGGTGGCAGCAGCGAAAAAGAAGATCAAAGATCAGAAAGAGGTCATTTATATTACACTCACATCGCAACTCGCTCTCCTATGACTTACACTTGTCCTCATCTCACATGCGAACAATCGCTTCCCATCAAACTGATTCTGAGCAAACTGCGTCAAGATGTCTCGGTGACAAATCACTTTGCCACGACAGGCTCTGCGATCAAGGATTGAAGAAATTCCTGACAACGTTCGAAACGCTCTCAAAGAGATCAAGTTGTACAAGTTCTATCCCCTCAGTAAGCCTTTCGTATTTCGTGATTGTTTCTTTGTTGACCATGTTTGCAGATGAATTGTGTCAGCCGATGAAGTCGAAGTGAGATGATTTAATCTTTGACTGCGTGATAGTAATCAGCAAACAGGTACATTAATCGCTACTACGGGCAAGCAGACGAAGTACTATGAAAGAGATTTGGGCAGTATCAAGAATTTTTCTGCTCTCTCAATCAGAAGATTGATTGAGACATCTCACGAATTTCTCACTGCCGCCGGGGCAAATGCGAAAACACTTTCATACCTTTTCATGCAAGACAAGAAAACAAATTCACAGCAAACTTATATTTCAACATGACATCAAATTCACAACAATGTCAGAAAGCTCCACAAGTCGTGAGATTGTAAACAAACAAATAAACAAGTTTCTCCTACTTCCTTGTATAGCCTAGCAACTCGAAATCGTCCTTGTAACCGTGATAGATCTCTTCCTCTACACGCCCTGTGATCGTCTCAAAGTCTTTCTGTTTCTCCTTGATATCCGGTGAAGCGTTCTGCACAACAAAATTTCCCTCAAGGAAGAACTGAGTGAGATTGTGATTGTTGATCCGATGGAGAATCGTCATGACGTCTTGATGAAAGTTTTCAAGTCTCCCGATGAAATCAACGACGGGGCAGAGATTCTTGGTGAAGAGAAAGTGAGTTTGGGGCAACCAATGCATTTTCATCACCCTCGTTGACAACGCACTCTTATTCAAGACCCACTCAGCGAACGATACCTGTTTGCCTGTTAGGAAGGCTGGAGAGACAGCCATCTGGTACATGCTGACTGCTCTGCGATATGGATCTCTGACGAAAGAGAAGCGAAAGTGATCAGGAAAGTCAAGAAACGCTCTTTTGCACGGCAGGAGAACGAACTTGGTCTTATCGCATTCTTTCCTGTCTCTTCCACAGTAGAATCGGTTGATGAAGGAGTCCCAAGAAGACCCTCCTGACTTCAACACGTGCATGTAGATGAAGTTGTCGAGGAGTGACACGATGCACTGAAGAACAAGGCAACCGTCACAAAGCAGCAAGAGAGGAGGGGAGAGAGGATGAAAGAGAGGAATTGAGATGTAGGGGAGGGAGAGGAGAGGAATGGAGATGGAGAGACGAAGACAGATAAGTTGGGAAAGGGAAGGAGGAGGAGTAGGAGGAGGAGGAGGGGAAGGAGGGGGAGGGGAAGGGAGTCTCAAGATAACCTGCGCGTTGAAATTGAAACGAGGATAATGAGATCGGCTGTACCCAAAAGGATGTCGGATATTTCCGTAAGCAAAGCTTTGATCGCGGTAGACCCGAGGTTCACAGGGCCTAATTTCACATACTTCATGTCCTACAGAGAAACAAGTTTCATTTCTGTCTATTGTGTTCATGGACAAGTTTGCAAACTGGTCGGGCTTGTAGCCAAACGTGACAAAGTCTTCCTTGAAAATGTCGTTGAACCAGGTCATGGTATCCATGTCAACTTGATTTCCCTGCACCAGGTTGACAGCGGAAATGTAGGATTGCTGAAACCTGTTCATGATGAATGCTTTGTGAAACTCAAAAAACTTGACGAGATGCCAGCTATCAATGTACTGCAAGACGCTCTTGAAGTCAAGATCAAAGTTTTCTGCCCTGATGATGAAGTTCACTGTTGAACAACCATCTTGGTCCAAGATTTGATAGTGCTGGGCCTGCAAACTAACTGTGGACCTCCTCTCCTTCAGATGATCTTTCCGCTTGTAAACATCGAGCAACGTGTAATGAGGATGACTCAGGATTGCAAACCTGAAGAATTGAGGGTACTTCAACGCTTGTTCCAGGCAATCGGTCACTTGAAATTCAGAATCCTTACACTCTGATCCTTGACAGAAAGCACTCCGAAGAAAGTTCAAGATAAGCTGAGAGAACGAGCCATCGGTGATCTTGAAGATAAAACGCCTGCGAACTGAAACTGCACACTTGTCCCTTTGCCTCCTTCCTCCTTCCAACGTGTCGTTCAGCATGCTGCTTGTGATATGCCCTAAGGGAAGCGCAAGTGCAAGAGAAGTGTTAAAGCGACATGAACCCGCAGCAGCGATCGAGAAATTTCTTTGTGCCAAGGATGAATTTTTCATCTCCCTCACCTTTGAGCAGCCTGACTGCAACGATCTTCGCACTTGCAATGCTCGCATCTGTACGATTCGGAGTTTCCTCCTCACGTTCAACGAGTCCACCACGACGAAATGGGAGATGTAGATGACCAAACAACTCAAGAAGACAGCACAAAGAGCTCCATACTTCCAGTGCACCATACTGAACAGCTCGTGGCTCGACTAGACTCTTAGAACAGGATCATTACATGCAACTTTTACCATCTTCACAGGATTTTCACAGTGGAGTAATATAGTGAACAGAGGAATGAAAGAAAAGATAGGGCACAGGGAAGCAAGGGATCAGATGAGGTCAGGATCTTCTCCTCCTCTTCATGTCTTCATGCATGTGCGAAGAGGACCAGCAAGTCTCTGCATCGCTCGCTCTCAACCTGGGGAGGCTGCATGGATGCACAAGGCGGTGCACGCTTGTCAACTATCCAATAAAATTGAAAATCTAAATTTGGAAAATATGATGAAGATTATGTAATCAATTTGAAGTTTACCTGATAGTAATTCCAGTGTGAAACTTGGGCTCAAAAATCGACTTGAAAATAAAAAGGTAATAAGGTCGCCGCCCAACAAGTGAGGGGGTGGGTGGTTCTGAGGCTCAAGTGAACTGGTATGCTTCATTTTCATAGGTCTCCAAGAGGGTTTCGAGCAGGGTTGATGGGGTCCCAGGGTTTCAGGATTCACAGAGGTCTGTCCGAGGACTCTACCTTAGTCAGGCAGGGGGTGGGTACTGGGCCATTACCGCACTGAGACTTCACCCGCTTCAAGACTCTTGTGAGCCCTCACTAGTCCTCGTACTGATTTTAACTTAACTTTGAGTAAAGAGACAGTCAAACTGACTCGTGAGTGTCGGTGTGAAGGGTCCCCGACACCGTACCGTACGGAGTACGGTCTGACTCGGACTGCCCGGCCCGGGCCGCCCGGCCCGGTCACCTCAGTACTCCGAGGCTCAGAGCGTGAGCGAGGGGGACTCCGAGTGGCAGGGAGTCACTGGGACGCCCGGCACGGTGACCGCCGGGGGGGGGGGGGGGGGCCGGCGGGGCCCGGGGAATCATTGAATGCCGTCCGCCGAGTCCGGCGCCGGGCGGCGTGACTCGCCGAGACTCGGTGACTCGAGTCAGCGGCTTAGTACCGGCTCAGGGCCCCGGTGACGGACCGGGAGCCTCGGAGGCTGTCACAGTGAATGTCACCCGACCCGGTGACCCGGCGGTTCTGGCCCTGCCGGCGTGATCGGCCCCCGACCGTCCGGCCCAGGGACTCTCACGCCGGGCCGCCCCGCCGCCCGGGCCGGCTGAGTGATCCTGACTCAGTCACCCGACTAACCGCCGTTAACTTAGTAACCGTTCCGACAGGTGTGCCAACTTGGCAACGGTTGAGTAATAATAAAGCCTTGAAAGAGCCTTGAGTGTGCTCAACCGTCGGTCTTATTAGCCAGTCGCTGACCCTGCAGATCCGCTGCCCGGTCACCATCTAGTGCCGAAACCGTTGAGAAATGACGTGAGGGTTGAAGGCTGGTCACGTCACGGTGATCAACGAGCAGAGGCAGCACTGAATGTTATAGTGAAGATATCACTGCCTTGATGGGAGAGTAGGACCAAAAGTGAGGCGGGCTGGATGATTTGGTGGTCAGAGAGTCAAAACAGATCTCGGACGCCAGTGGAGGAATGAGGGAGGGGAGACGGGGAACAGCCCCCTGATGTGGGGGAAGACTCTCCTCCCCCGTACCCGTTATCTTGAACATCCTCTCATCATCCTCTCATCATCTTCCCACCCTCCTCCCACCCTCCTCCTCCTCCTCCCACCCTCCTTGCTCCGAGCACCCTTACTCACTCCTGACATAGCACATCTCTTTCCTGGCATCTAATTGAGCACAAGCCATGGGGTGTGCATATTGCGCATATTGTGGCACTCCCTTCACTCCCGTAAGCTCTCTCAATGTATCCTCCCCTCTTCCTCCCTCTCCTACCCCCAAGCTCCTCTTCGACCTCTTCTTCGGATCCTCCCCGACCCCCTGCATCGTCTCCGATACCTCCAACCTCCTCCTCGACTTCACCGCCCTCCCCGACCCCTCCAGCGGGGGCGAGTGGGTGGACGACTTCGAGGGCCTGGGCTTCATGCGAGCGCGGTCCTCGCGTACGACAACGGGGCACTACATCGAGGCGAGGACAGACGATGAGGACGAGCAGGGCGTGGGAGCGATGGATCGAGCTGATCACAAGGCGAGGAGCCGACGAGGCAGAGGATGAGGGTAATTGCATGAGGAGTAGGGAGTGGTGGAGGGATGTAGAATGGATATGATATGTTAGTGGTATTATACACACGAATAAACACTTGAAAGATTGTGGAAACATCATTACACAACTCAACACACTCTTTTGGCTGGATCACACTATATTGTATGCTTGTGATGCTGGGCAAGCGTTCAATACTACATGAATCTCCTTTCTGTAAAGGTTCTGCTCCTAATCCTACGAGCCTGCTTTGCTAGGGCTTTTACAACCGTGTACATAATGGTATCATGTTTGCTACAGCTGAGAGAAAAGCAGACGCTGCCATGGTGTAGATGCTGTACGAGCAAGCCCGTTGCACTCGTGCAATCTGTCGCTTCATCTCAAAAAAAGTCATGATCATGAACCTTTGATATGATCCAAGGATGACGAGGATAACGATGATAAAACAATCAAGATTACAATACAGCAACCTCGTGGAAGAGAAGACAGGATCCGAGTATGTTTGAGATGGTAAAGGGCTTTCTCATTTCCCTCATCTATTCAATCACATCTCATAGAAATCTGTGGCACCAACCAACGTACTTGTTTTCTCGTCAGATAAGCTTCTTATCTCCTACAGGCTGCCCCTGCCTGTTCTCGTCAACCTTCTTTCCCATCTCAGATCCTTCAAGGTCTTCACTTGCTTGCCGTGCAGGGCCCCATGAGTTTCTACAGATAACCCTCGCCTCGATGTAGTGCCCCGTTGTCGTACGCGAGGACCGCGCTCGCATGAAGCCCAGGCCCTCGAAGTCGTCCACCCACTCGCCCCCGCTGGAGGGGTCGGGGAGGGCGGTGAAGTCGAGGAGGAGGTTGGAGGTATCGGAGACGATGCAGGGGGTCGGGGAGGATCCGAAGAAGAGGTCGAAGAGGAGCTTGGGGGTAGGAGAGGGGGGGGAGAGAGGGAGAAGTTGAGTATACCATCAAAGCAGAGTAGAGATGAAGATAAGGGAAAGAATGTGTGAGTGAACGAAGACTTTGTCCGGGCTAGTGTGGGCGAGGAATGAATAGAGCAGGAGGAGAGATTCGACTGAGGATTGGGGAATGATGGGTAGATGGGAGGAAAATACAATCTCGAGGATGAGAGTAATTCCTGCAGGAGATCGGGGCAAGTAATGTAGATCAACATGTACGGATTACAGCGGTAGTAAAGTAGCTATTATTCCTTTATGTGTGGAGATTGCTGACGGCCTCTGGTGGCGTCCGGGATCTCCCAGCCGCAGTTTTGTCTTCTTCGCAGTGTTGCTCCTGCGAGTTCGCCTCGGGGAGATTCTTAGGGCAGCAAAGAGAACTTAGCCCTGGAGCCCAATACTTCAACCCTTAGACCCCGGGCAGTGGGTGACAGTTGGATTGTGACGTGATCACTTGCAGGGCTACCGCAGGGTCAGCCGATTGTCTCAGTCGTCTTATTACAATTACACCTACACCTCCTCCCTCCTCCTCCGTTTCTGCCTTAACTCATCTCTAAGCCTCCTCCTCCGCTCTCCATCTCCCTCGCCTCCTGCCCTCGCTCTCAATTTCAATCTTTCTTCCACTCTCCATGCGCACGAAATTGACTTGCAAGAAATCCCGTTCTTCCCCCCTCCCTCCCTCTCCTACCCCCAAGCTCCTCTTCGACCTCTTCTTCGGATCCTCCCCGACCCCCTGCATCGTCTCCGATACCTCCAACCTCCTCCTCGACTTCACCGCCCTCCCCGACCCCTCCAGCGGGGGCGAGTGGGTGGACGACTTCGAGGGCCTGGGCTTCATGCGTGCGCTGTCCTCGTGTACGGCAACGGGGCACTACATCGAGGCGAGGACGGACGACGAAGACGAGCAGGGCGCGGGAGCGATGGATCGAGCTGATCACAAGGCGAGGAGCCGACGAGGCGGGCAGGCATGAATGATTGATATTTTGCCATTGACTGTTGGTTTAGACACTTGATTCCTGCAAAGCTTTCCCGATATCCTGCCCACCGTCGTGCCTAGTTCCGCCGTAGCGCAGCGACTTGCTGCTTCTGTTGAAGAAGAAGACTGTCTAGAAAACAAGGATGTTAATCCGCAAGACCGAGGACTGCGGGTGCCTCCGGTCGGTTTAGGAGCTAGTAGTAGAGCGACAAGAAACCAACAAGAAAGTGGCTGGCCTGCCTCCAAGGAAGCGCACTAGTTATTGCTGCGGAATGATTGCAGAACCAAGTTCTTCCTAGGGTCAGCCCTCGGACCGTCCGTGCCCGTATCAAAGACGGTCACTACTGTCACTCTCAGTAGTACCAAAGGTTCAGGCCGGACTGCCTTTCACAACAGTTTCCTCGGAACTTCGGAATCGACCACGGCACGGTACCCAGGCGGCAACTCCCGGACGGAGCTGGCACCTGGCAGTGAGCCGGGGACGGAGGCCCTGAGGGTCACCAGTGATCAACACGATAGCCAGTGCAAGCCTTACATGCCTTGAAGAGCGGGCAAGCCCCGGGTCTGTGACTGTGAAGTATCCCTTTTACTCAAACTTGTGTGAAGTATCCCTTTTACTCAAACTTGTGTGAAGTATCCCTTTTACTCAAACTTGTGTTAAATCGGAACGCCGGAATACAATCAGACTCAACTGAGAAGAGTCGAGGGGGCTTGACCCTGGGACTTCTCGGAGAAAAGACAGGACTGAAAGTATCAAAGTAGCTCCTCTTTCATAATCAATAAAGTGGACTAAACTTCAAAGAAGTTGATACTGAGATTGAGAGAGTCATCAAGACATGCCAACTGGAGTATCCGAGGCTTTATTGTATCCGAGCCAATAAAGCCTCGGATACTCCTCGGATAGTTCCGAGCTCCGGTCACTTTCAAAGTTTAGTCAACATTAAGTCTTCGTCGGGTCAAGCCGCCGCCACTCGAGATTGAATCTTAAATGTGTTATAGCGCCGGCACGGAGTCGTGAAATGGAGTCTTTTCGTAGACTCACATACCACCCCTAGCTCCCATGCCCCACTCAGGCTACCATCCCGGCCTCCGGCCTCCGGCTCTGACTGTCACGAAAATCTCGAGATTTGACTGGTAGCCCGGACACATAAAGAATCCCTGCGATCTCCCGAAGAAGTGTTAAAGGATACCGATAGTTAAGACCGCCCTCACTCTACAACTCGTCCCATCCCCTCGCAGACTCTTCAAGTATTGCTCGTGTCCCACCCTCCTCTTGCTCCTGCCCCACCGCCCTCCTCTTGCTCCTCCTCTTGCTCCTCCTCGTCTTTGTCTACCTCGTAATACATTTCCCACTCTCCCCTCCTGTTACTGATCATCTCCGCGTCTGCCTTCTAACTCGCTGCCTCTCTTCTTGAAAGCAACTTTCTTGATCATCAATCTTCTTCATACAATTTCAACTTGCTTCGCTTCTCTATTCATCACCCGCAAGACTGGGATACTCCACAATATCCGAGCAATCATGTCATTCTTACAAGCCTCCTCGCCAAGCTGCCTCCATTCCTCCTCTCCTCCCTCTCCTACCCCCAAGCTCCTCTTCGACCTCTTCTTCGGATCCTCCCCGACCCCCTGCATCGTCTCCGATACCTCCAACCTCCTCCTCGACTTCACCGCCCTCCCCGACCCCTCCAGCGGGGGCGAGTGGGTGGACGACTTCGAGGGCCTGGGCTTCATGCGTGCGCTGTCCTCGTGTACGGCAACGGGGCACTACATCGAGACGAGGACAGACGACGAGGAAAGGTCTTGGGTTTCTGAAGGCGAGCAATGCGAGGCCGGGGTGCAGCTGGAGCGAACGAATCATAAAGGGAGGAGACTGTTAGAGGAAGCATTGCCAATGCGCAAGGAGAAACGGGGAGGGCGGGTGTGACTGAGTAGCCGCTGAGAGGATTCATGCGTTTGGAATTAAAATCGTTAGCACTGTTGCTGGAAGTGAACTTACTTGAAGTCTGAGAGCTCATGAAGAACGATGCAACTTGTCCGATCACCTCGCACTGCTAATGGCATGGCCTCGCATTCTACTGCCATCATGATGCCGCCGATTAAATACCCGACGGCGAGGCACCGACCTGTCAGTTGCCAAGGCTCGCTGGGCGATCAACTTAGTTGACTTGAAGTTCCGAAGTTCTCGCCGCGCGATGAGGTGCCCCCGCCCGGCCGCGTTATCACTGAGTCATGCCCGGGGGGGGAAGCGTCACCGTGCTAGCGGCAGTACTACCCGTAGGCTAGCTCATGTCCGATCCGGGCCGGAGTCCGATCAAAAAGCGTTGTCACCCGGGCCGATCCGCCGGTGACTGGCATCATACGGTAGTACTACACTGCCAGTGAGTCACCGTGACACAGTGATTTCGCAAGGATTCGCTGTCCGATCGGGCCGGGCGGTCGCCGGCTGACCGGCCGGGCCCCAGAATCGTGGCATCGAGTCCGGCGTTCTGCCACGGCGTCACGTAGTAGTAGTATGCCGGCCCGGACTCACTGAGTCAGTGATCCAGGCTCTGCCGTACTACTAGTGAAGGTATCAGTTAAGTTTGGGGGACAGCAGTTGGCAGGAATAGGTTTGGAGTGCGACAGTTGTCAGGGTCAAGCCTCCTAACTTTGAGTAAACATGTGACGACAGCCACTGAGTCACGGTGATGTCCGATCCGTGGGGCCGGGCCCCGGCCGCGCCCGGCGCCCCGGCCGGGGCCGGCCCGCGAGCCTTACTAGTCACACGCGGCAGCCGCTGAGTCACAGCCCGGTGGCCCGTGGCAGTGGCACCCCATCTGACTCACAGAGTCAAAACCGGGCACACCCGCCAAGCCCGGCCCGGGACTCAGCGCCGCGGCGGGTCTAGGCTGCCGCACGCGGCCCGGGCCGGCCCGAGCACTGAGTCACAGTGGGTGAGTCAAACCGGGTGGGGAAATCTGTTCTGAGGCGGCTTGGAGCATTGTGGATGGCGATGGCAAGGAGAAAGGTGGCGATGGCGTCGCCTCGCACCACCACCACCTCCTCCTCCTCTTCCTCCCCCTCCCCCTCCCCCTCCCCCTCCCCCTCCTCCTCCCCCTCCTCCTCCTCCTCCTCCTCCTCCTCCTCCTCCTCCTCCTCTTGATGATGACGACGACAACGACGACGACGATGACGGCAATAAGAACAACAAGAAACTATTCTGGGGGGGCGGATAAAGACTGATTGATGGAATGAATCGTAGAAATGCTGGATGAATCGGAAACGAAGGACTCGTCTCTGCTGAACTCAGCGGAAGAAGAAGCTCTGAGAAAGATCCTTGGTGAATTGAAGGGCGGAGAGGAAGTAGAGAGCCTGGAACAGGAGCCGTTGGTGGAGGAGAACGAGGAGGAAAGAAACGAGACGAGCGAAGAGGAGGAGCAACAGAAGAGAAGACATGAGAGACAGGTTGGGGTAAAGGAGGAGGACGAGATCCTTGTGCATCAGTCTCATGCAGAAGTTATCACGTCTGTGTCAGAGAAGCGCACGATTGCGCTGACAGTACATGGAGAGGACGAAGGAGTTAGCTGTGGGTTGATAGAATGGCTCAGCACACACCTGCCGCCGACGTCCAAGGCACAGTGCAGCTGCTTGCATGCTAGCGGGCGATACCTGGTGATCGGGCTGTCAACAGGACTGTGCAAGGTGTTCGAGTACCAGGAGGAGAACTTATTCGGTCTGTTGGTGCATGAAGCGTCGAACAACGATAGGGTCACGTGTGTAAGAATTTCACCTCAGGAAACTTTCGTGGTAGTTGGGCATGAAAGTGGTCGGATTGTTGTCTGGGATGTCAAGAGATGTCAGATGCTGAAGAGCTTGACGGATGTGCAGAACAGTCCGATAACGCGGATTGATTTCATCGAGAATAGGAAGTTCCTGTGTGTGGGAAGCTCAAACCTTGTATTGCTGATGACAATCTCGCAAGTTTTGATGATGAATGTCGTTCAGAGTGATGTCATGCTGAGAGGAGATGAGTGCGATATTGACAACATCACTTCTCTCTCTGTCGCGCCATCTTCGCAGGCTGCGGCTGAAAGCGCCCAGGAATCCTCGTCGTTGATTGCTTTCGGTGGTAGCGAGATGGTTTTCCTGACTTCTCTGCAGCCGAAAGCAAAAATCTTGATGGCGATCAAACGGCCGAAGCTTGCTCCTGCGTTCGCGATCCCTCAGTTTGGTTGGGCTCCTTGGCAACTTCGGCAGACAGTGAAAGGAGGGTTGGCGGGTGTGAAGAGCAAGGAGTTGTCAGGTTTTAGTTCGTGCTTGCCTCTGGCGATAGGATGGGGATTCATGTTTCGAGTTGTGAACGTTGAGTTTGCTTTCTTCGAGTCAGGAGCAACCAATCAATATTGGAATCTGGCAAAGACATCGGGCAACTCGCGATACAAGTTCCATGATGCTTCACAGCACAGGCTGTCTGAATGTATCGGAGCGGTTGTTTGGGTGAATGCAAGGACGATCTTTGTCTCGAAGACAGATGGAGCTTTGCTACTCTATGATTGTAAGATGCCTGTGTTGATATCATACCTTTGATATCTTTGTTGACGATGATGTTTGGATGCAACTCTTCAGGAAATTAGTTTTTGACATTGAATTCAACAGATTCTCGTCTACAGTTCTTAACTTCTTACCGTATTCAAATCTTGGACAACATGATCCTGTCGACAACGTTGGCAAATCAGTTTGTTGACTTCTCACAATCGATCACATGCATCAGGGAGAAAACTTTGATTCTTACAAGGAAAGGAGTTTTTTCTCTGCTGCTCACTTCATGGAGTAACTATTTTGACAAGGTTAAGATACTGGTCAGAGTGAGAGAATCTTGCTGAGTGAAGTTGCAGTTGATGGGCTGTGGCAAGTATGAAGAAGCGTTTGAGATGATGAAGAACCTGCATTCGTCGGGTGTCAGTGAATTCTCTGGAGTACCCGTCGAAGACAATAAAAGAAAATATGAAGTTGTGAAAGAGATGAAAAGAACTGTGATGAGTTTGTTGGAAGGTTGCTTTCTTGACTTGAAAGTTACAATGATGTAATGATTGTTGTTTTTGGTAACCAGTCAATGGAAATGAAGATGAGTCGGGACAAGTTTTGAGGTAATATTTTTTGTATATGCCTTGTTGCAAGAGCTCTAGTAAATCTATCTACACAGGCTGTGTTTGAGTGCTCTCTTTGACATGAGGCAAGAGGACTTTGTCTTTGTCGATGTAAGGAACATGTTAGGTAAGTTTTCTTCCTGCATACCTTGATTGAAGTTGTTAACAATACTTTTCAGTTGAACAATCTAGATTGTTCATATTTCTAGACATCATGGAGGAGATGGTGAAAACATCTCTTCACATCCTGTATGTTATTTGCCTCTAACATTATATTTGCAGCTTCTCTCACAGAAAATTACACGGCTGCCCCCGGACGTCATGCAGGTCGTTTGATCCTTTTTGCCTCGGCACCGATGAGATTGTTATTTCTCATTCTTGTTTCTCAACAGCAACTTCTGGAGAAGTTGAAGATGGAGAAGAATTTTCTCAGAGCTGAAGATTGTATCTTGCGAACCGAGTTTTCTTGCCTCGATTTCCATCAGGTTGTCTCGTTGTGGATCTGATGATGGAGAAAATGGTTGAGATAATGATGGTTGATGTGATGATTTGGATTATAATGATGGAGATGACAATGAAATCATACGAGAAGTAATTATCGCATTTGCAGGTTTCAAAGATCTGCGAAGAAGAACATCTTGGCAGGGCGATAGTGCACCTGCACACGTATGGCATAAATGATTTCATCACACCTTTCAACATCTTTATCTCACACTTGTCGAACGAAAGAAGTCAGGTTGTCTTCACGTGATCTCCATTCTTGCTGTATGCTGATACCAAACTCCCAGCATACCACAAACCTGTTGCAAACCTTCTTTGAGTTCCTTCAGAGAGCTTGTTGTGGTCTGTTCCAAGACGATTTCTCTCCTCTCCGCTTGAAATCCTCAACCACCTCCTCCTCTCCTCTACTCTTCCTTCCTCGTGACTGGGGCATCCCGCGAGAGGGAGAAGAGGAGGAGGTGAGGGATCAGATGCTCTGTATGCTGTTTCATGGGAAGAGATCGCAAGATGTTGAAGATCGGAGAAGTTTGAGGAAAGAACAGATGGGAAGTGAAGACATCAACAATGTGACCCATGTAAGCAACAGCAACAGCAACAGCAACAGCAACAGCGACAACGTGACCTATTTGTTCCTTATCGATCTTACATCTCATACTTTGCTCCAGAGCTCTTCCTCCCGAGCCATCCGCCTCCTCCTCCTCCTGGATGTTCGCTCCTCTGTCTGCCTACTTGATCTCGTCCTCAGCTGCATGGCCTCTACCGACGGAGATGGAGAGGAGACAGGAGCAGGAGCAGGAGCAGGAGCAGGAGCACGAAGGATGAAGATGATACGACAAGACATTGCGTGCGCTCTCCTGCGTATCCTACGGGAAGACGTATGCTTCCTCTTCAGAGACAAGTCAAGGAAGGAGGAGGAGGAGGAGGAGGAGGAGGAGGAGAGGCGAACATGGAACATCACTCGCACGCTCCTCCTGCAGCTCCTCCTTCAGCAGCTCCTCCTCGGTGCTGTCTCATTCGACTCTCTGAGTTCCTGGAATTTCTCCTTCCTTCTCCTGCGCCTCGTTAGTTCCCTCAATGAGCGAAGAGAGGAGGAGGAAGAGCAGGAGGAGGGAGAGGAGGGAGAGAGGGGGAGGACGAGAGAGGAGAGGGAAAGAAAGGGGGACGGGAAGAGCAGGCGCGTCAAGTGGAGCAGGGAAGATCAGGACGCTTGTGAACAGCTTCTAGTGTCGTTTGTGAACAGCAAAAGTGGAAGAGCTGGAGCTGGAGCTGGAGCTGGAGCTGGAAGAGGAGGAGATCGTCAACAAGAGGATTTTCATTCACAGATGCTGTGGAAGATGCTCGAATACTCGAAGGTGAGGAGCTAGTCTGAGGATGAGGACGAGGAGGAAGTCCCAGATGATGATGATGATGAGGAGGAGGAGGAGGAGGAGGAGGAGGAAGTGAAAGGAGGAGGGCTACACGAGAGACGAGAACAACCGACGACGAGGAACTTAGAGGAGGGAGAGGGGCAGATGAGGAGGAGGAGGAGGAGGAGGAGGAGGAGGAGGAGGAGTTGATGACAAGTGGATAGGAGGCGAAGATGAAACGATTGTGCCTGTCAATCTTGAGAAACCTTGGGGATATAAGGTGAAGAATTTCTTGTTGCCTATGAAAAATGATGACGATGATGGAGATGGAGATGGTGATGGTGATGGTTGGGAAGAAGAAGATGATGATGATGGTGATGATGATGATGTTCAGAACTCAGTATCATGCAGGGAACTCATCTCGACATCGTTGGCGATGAATGTCAGAGTAGAAGAGATCTTTTCTTTGCTCCGAAGTCTCATCAGCAACCCATCATCAACAACAGCCAAGAACCTGGTACTTTCAACTTGATTGCAATGTTTCCACCCGCTGAAACCTCCCTCAAGATCGTTGATGTGTTAATGGAGAATTTCTCCAAGTTGTCAGAACTGGATGCAAAGAAATGTGCGAAGCTGATGGTCATTGGGAACACAAGTCAATGTGCAATGATAGCAAAGAGTTTGAAAGATCCACGTGTACAGGTGAATCCTTGCCAGCACTTGCATGACTTGGTACTAATGAGAGCTTCTGTAGTTTTGTTATCTGAAAGAAATTTTTCGGATCAGAGGAGGAGGAGGAGGAGGAGGAGGAGGAGGACTGAAGGAGGCGAATAGTCCGGAGGTTGAACGGACGCCTGATCTCTTCGGGCGGCCTAACCTCGGGCAGCGGATCGTGTCACTCGGCCCGCGTCATGTCATCTGGCTGATAAGGGACGTGACCCGGATGATGGGCTCACATGACGGGTCACGTGACACAACACTGAACCAAGAAAAAGACATTTTTGTTTCACAAATCCAAGAACCCCAGTCGAGGTTTCTCCCCGGGCGAAGAAAAACTCCCTTTGACCCGCTGTTTCTCGAACGAACCTGCCGGCTGGGTCTGGCAGAAGACGACAGCTTCCTTAAGCCAGTCCTCGACCCAATGGAGGACGACTCGCGCTAAAAGTCCGAAATGCCCGGGGCATG